AGAATGAAAGAGGCATAATTTATATTTTTTTCCTAATTTTTTATAGTGGTTACAAGATTGGTCAGATCTACTGAACCTGAACAGAGATTCGTTAGTGAAAATAACAGATAAAATATAAGTTTGTTAAAGAATTAATTGTTTATCTAAATGTTTGCTTTACAAATTCAGGAAAATAGGAATTTGGATTATAATGTTATATATATATATATATATATATGTTGTTTTTTATTAATTTAGATGTTAGCTAGAGGATGCATGATGTTAAGATCAACTAAGTTTGTGAGAGTATTCCTAGAATACCCTTAATTGACATTACATAAATCTAGAGGCTTTGCTAAATATCTTTAAAAAGAAGAATTAGACTATAAGTATAGATGAGCTGGTCAATTGGCTAAGTAAGCTCACAGAGTGAATTACTGAAGTATAGATAGAGATAATCGGTCAGAAAGTGTTTTTTGTCAGTGTTTTGTTTCACTTACTTGATCGGTCAGCCATGAAGCAATACAACTAAGTTTATTTTTTACATCAGTCGATGTATTTCCTTTCAAGCATCATTTTTAAAGTTACTTTGGCTTACAAGTTATAAAGGAAAGGAGCCTTTAAGGAAACATTAAAGAGGAAATAAATTAACTTGTCATTACATGGATTGTACTTTAATTTATTTTCACCAGATAATTTTAAAAAACCTGCCAATGAAAGAACAGTGTTACAACAACATTATAAAGTTATTCATTTTACAAACATAACATTTCTGTGATTGACAATGACCCTTAAATCTTTAGTACTGATTGACAGATTTTTTTATTTTTTGGCTTTGGTATTTCTTTCTATATCTGTTTTTATTTTCCAGAAGGACCATAGATACTGTGCAGTGCATCAGATTTGCTGTTTCTTTAACTATTTAAAATCGAACGGATACTGGCATTTTCTGACCGAAAATCCCAATTTACCCATCGGACCATGATAGCGTTCGATAACATTTATGTACCTTTGGCTGAAAACTAATCCAAATAATGTTATTATCCATCTTTTATAAATAGACCAGAAATTTTATGAAGTATGGTGATAATTATTAGGACATCATGAATGTAAATTCTGGCAGAACATGCAAAAAATTACAGGTTTAAAAAAAGTGGATCTTATTTGTTTTCATAGGACTGTTCAATATGCTGTGTTAAACTCTCAGAAGAATCTCCTTATGATAAGGATCCAAAATTGGTGTCTCTGGACCAGTGTAATCATGCTTTTCATCACGCTTGTTTGATAACAATGTATAACTCTGGTCCGAAGGTATGTTTTAGAATGTTTTATTTGTTATGCTAGTTTTCAAGTAATATGTTTTAATTTTTGTTTATTTTTTCCATTCTTTTAAAACTGATTAACATTACACCTTGTGATATACTTTTGAATGTGTGATTTCCACGGTGCGGCACAGGTGCTAAATTACATTTTTGTTTCCCTCTTCTGCATTCAGTGAGTAATAGATACACACACACACATGTATAAAGACATTAAATGAACATAATATGAATAAAATAGATTAAAAACTAACCTTGGAAAATGCAGACATGATATATCCGCACGTTTACTGCATTTCAAATGCACCATATAGGTTATGCATGCTGTGTAGTATTAGCCATTGAAACTGAGCCATAGCTCATATCGTGTGTGTGTGTGTGTGTATGAGTGGTTGGTTATTTTAGTTCATTGGGTTAACTATGTGTTCTTTGTGTCTACTTTTGAGCATGACAATCATACATTGACATCTGCAACACAACATGAATTATTGCAAAGAATGGTGGAAACCTAATTAATCAAAGTTTTTGGAATATTCGAGATGCTTTTTCAGGTGTTATTCTGCATTTTTATATAAGCAGTCAGTATGCAGATTCACATTTTAAGTGGATGAACTGCTTAAAAAGTGCAATATTATGCAAATAAAACCAAGTTCTGTTAATGTGTAATTACTGGTAAAAGTGTTTTGTCATTACTATCTTTTTCTAGGATGGCCACATACAGTGTCCCATCTGTAATAAAATCTATGGTGTAAAGAAAGGAAACCAGCCCCCAGGATCAATGGATGTTCAATTGATACATCATTCGCTCCCGGGGTATTCTCACTGTAAAACTCTATGTATTACTTATAACATTAGGCCTGGAGTTCAGGTACGTTTCTCAAACACAATTGTTTCTCATTACAGAAAATAATTTTTCTCCCACAGTTGAACAAAAGTAAAAATTCCAACATTTAGTTGTTAGTGATAAAAAAAAAAAGCTGATGTTTTCTAAATAGTAATTTCCTTGAACTCGTGTGTTACACAACTTAAGTACCTTTTAGCCACTTCTTATGCAAAATCTGGTACAATTCCATACTCGTGGAAAGGGTGCTCTTCCATCTATAAATGCTTTTCTTGTGGAGCAATTTTGGCAATTTTCAGCTTAAAATATTTCATTTGTATTATGTAATTCTTTGATATTGACATTTTGCACATTGATAAAACTTCAGAACGACATTACTTTGAATGACCTCAATGATATTGTCACATGTTAGACCCACAAAACCTCATTCCGTACCACTAATGGTCTGGTGATTATGGCATCCAATTTCACAGCTGTGAGTTACAATCCCATCACTGAACATGTTTGGCTTTTCAGCCATGGGGAAGTTATAATGTGATGGTCAATCCAACTTTTAGTTGGTAAAAGAGTAGTCCAAGAATTGGCGGTGTTGACTACCTTCCATCCGTTAAGTCTATCAGCTCAAAATTAGGGATGGCTAGTGTAGATAACCTTCAAGTAGCCTTGTGCAAAATTTAACTAAGAAAACACTAACAGTTATTTTTCCATACTTCCATTGCTGAATCATATGCATGTGAATGGACTTTGGAATCACCCTATATGTGTAAAGATAAATTATCCCTTTTACAATGGGCAGACATATTTCACGTCCACTTGACTGGGGAAGGACATTTATGCAACAAAAATATGGTAACTCTGTGTGTTCCTTACAAAACCTGGTAATATTTTGTTAAAGTTCATAAGTATCTTGTACACAAAGAATGACATTATTATAATTACATTTTTCTAATAAAACTGTTATTTATCTATAGCACTTATTTGCACTCAAACTCTGCAGGGACGGCCTTAGGGCAAGCCCACTGAGGCAACTGTCTCAGGCCCTTCGCTTCAGTGGTCGAGTAGATTGTATACTTCTAGTACCCAAACTCTAGACCCTAATCCTGTGTTCTCGCCTCAGGCCCCAAATTCTCCTAAGCCTGGCTGTGAAACTGTGAATAGTTTGAGTGCTAGGTGATTTTTATTTTAAGATTAAAAATATTTTACTTCAGCTTATAGTTTTAATATTTTATTTGCATAATCTATAGAACCACCTATTATGTTGTGTTCTGTACAGAGAATTGTCAATTTCACTTCCAGTTCAAACTTTATTCCTAGAGGAAACATTGATGAGCTTAAATGAATTTTTTATGGCTGTTATCGTATAGTTAGAAAGCCAGAAAAATTATGATAGTTATTGGATATTGCTGATATTTATGTGTTATTATTCTGTGTTCTCAGTTGCATTATTTAATTAAATAAAAGATTAAGTAATGTAGTAGTACCATTAATATAAAAAAGTAGAATTAAAGTTCATTGGCAGTTGACAGCAAAAAAAAAAAGATCCAGGTAAATATTATATTCTTGTTTTTCATGTGTATTTTTTATTTAATATAACAGAAGTAATTGATATTAAAAAAATTAGAATTTTTGTTATGTTAAATAACGTTATATTAGGTAAGATAAAGAAAAATAATAACAATAATAAAATTTTGAGGAGGTATGCTTGCAAGCAGCTCATAAGTAGCCTGTGCTTATGTAATTTGATAGGGTAACATGAGCTACATGTTCTCCAAGTGATTTAAAACTTGTGTGGTGGGATTATTAGTTAGACACAGTTAAAAGGGCAATAAAACAATAAAATTTAAGTAGAAATAGATATATACTATTATGAGATTTAAGCTATTTAGAGTGAACAAATGCAGTTTCATGTTACAATTTGAAATCATTCTAGAAAGAACAATTTATTTCATATTTGTTATGGTGGTTACGAAGTCGGTCAAATTGACCAACCTTGTATAGAGTTAAGGTAGAGAAAGTAATGGATAAAATATAAAGTTTTACTGAAAAATAAATGTTTGAAATTTATTTAAGAGGTTTTAGAGGTTATGCAAATAAAATTTGACAATTTTCACGAAAAAAAGTATTTTTAATTTTAACATGAAAATCACTTTGCACTTGGAGCAGTCAACACTATGACTTAATATATTCACAAAGAAATTTTTAGTGAAAGTACTAAATTAAAAATTCTGATTTTTTTGTCTGCAGAAGACTTAAGACTTACTGAAAGCATGCAAAATTTTGTGAAGATACACAGAACATATTAAAAGTTATAGCATTAAAACTATAAAGCTCAATTTGGGGTCACAAATTTGGCTGATTTGACTGATTAGAATACCATTTTACTTTCAGTTTAATTATGCTGTTTCCTTATGGTCTGAAAGAAAAACTCTCTTTTAAATTAGTCTGATTAGTTAGTTATTCTTTAATTTGCAATAGTTTTTTATATGTGTGTGTGTACTTATGTATCATTAGATACATGAATGTGTGCATATGTAATTCCTTCTGTATATATATTATATTGTTTATGTTGTAGGTGCAAACAGTTTGAATGGTACAAATGCCATAAATATTTCAGTATTATTGAAGTGTGTTAAACATGTGATTTAAGTTGATACAAAGTCCTTCCTAGCAGTAGCTAGGGAGTTAATTCTTTTGCTAATTTGGTACAGATACAAGAAGTACTGGTTTCGATCCTGTATGGAAAGCACATAAAAATTGGCATCAAACATGAGGCTGTCATGTGACCCTAAGATTTGTGAGAGGGAAGGAACAAGGTTGCCAGTTAATTTAAATAGGCAAGAATGGTACACAGAACATATCGGGTTACCCCATAAGTAGCAGTTTCTTTATAAAAACATATATAAATACACATCACCAGTAGTTTACATTTCACTACTGTAAAGGGAGGGAGCAGACATATTTGTACATTGTTTTATGTGCTGTATATGTTGACTTAGAATTAAAGAGATGTGTTAAATTGTCTCTGTATGTTGTATATGGTGACTTAGGACTGAAGAGATGTGTTGTATCTCAAGTGGAGGATTAGGGAGATTTGTTAAATTACCTTCAGTGTGTTGTATCTGCAAGTGGAGGATTAGGGAGATTTGTTAAATTACCTTCAGTGTGTTGTATCTGCAAGTGGAGGATTAGGGAGATTTGTTAAATT